ATTCCCTGTTGATCACGCGATTTTTGTGATTGGAGAGGTTTTTATTGTGTTTATGGTTTATTATTATTGTTTTTGATTGTTTTTATTGTTTATTTTTTGTGTTTGTTGTCTATTATTATTGTTTTTGATTGAATTTTTTTTAAAATTTGAGGTGTCCAAATCGAATCTGTTGGGCGTGCAGAACCATGCGCAGTTCATGATGTCTGTGATGCGGAATTTCCGAGATAAGGTGCGACAAATGGGTGCGGCACAGGCGCTGAGTGAGTCGCTGGTGCAAGGACCGTCTTACGAGAGTGTGAAGGCGATTCTGGACCGGACTGGATACCAGCTGGAGGTGACCAACGGACAGCGAAAANCCGCCGCCGGACTGGGACGGACCAGCCACAGGACCGACTGGAGCAGGACATGAGGTGAGGTGGATTGGATTTTTATGGTTTGAGGGGGGTTGGAGTGGTTTAAGTGGTAGAAATTAGGGTGGGGTATGGTTTTGGGTAGGTATTTTTTGAGGTTGGTTTTTATATTTGTTGGTTATTTTTTGGTATTTTTTAGGATTTTTAGGTTAAATTTCGGTTTGTTTTATTAAGTTGTTCTTTTTAAATTAAGTTGTTTGTTGTAGATTTACATCGGGAAGATTCCGAACGAGATCTACGAGGACGCGCTGATACCGTTGTTCGAGGAATGTGGTAAGATGTGGGATTTGCGGTTGATGATGGATCCGTTGACGGGCAAGAATAGGGGATATGCGTTCGTGACGTATTGCGATAAGAACAGTGCGGCGGAAGCGGCGAAAAAGGTGCGTTTTTTTTTTGTTTTTTGCGTATTGTTTTTGATTTTTTCAAGGAAAATTGCTTCTTTTAGAAATTTTTTTCATTGATGATATGAAAAAATGAATGTGGAAAATGAATCGTTGTTTTTATTGTAGTGAAATGGTTTTTTAATGCGGTGTTTTTGGGTGTTATTCGTTTGGTTTTGGGTTTTGAATGTTTAGATTTTGTTATTTTCTCGATTTCCAAAAAAAATCCCGCAGAAAAACCCGTATTTGATACCGTTTTAATGCCGTTTTTACTTTTATTTTTAAAATGTCCTTGATGTTCCAATTTTTGGCTTGGAGCCAATTTTTTAATGGCCGAAAAATGATCTCGCAGCGAATTGTAATTTTTGGTTACGGTACCGTTGATTGGCGGGAATTTGAATTTGGCGTCGTTGTCTTTAGTTTGTTGAAATGAAAAAAATTCAATTCATCTGAATTAATTCGTTGTTTTTATTGTTGATGTGTTTATATGTANGGGGGGGGGGGGTTATTCCAGTTCATCCAGGTGGTACCATTTTGTGAGGTGTTTATTCGAGGTTATCAATGAGGTTGCTAGATTCTAGGGTGGGTGGCTTTCATATAGAGATGTTCGATTTTTTAGTGATGTTCTCGGGTCGAGCTATTTCGTTAGTTGTTAGTCATTTTGGTGGGTTATCTTTTGGAGTTATTGTCGTCGGTGCTTTATTGCATTAATCAGGCCATCCGCATTTTGATGCTTTGACGTTTGGATGTATCTTTTGAAGTATAATATTTTGGTCTCGATTTCGTTGATCTGAATTGAATTGAATTTTGTGTATCGATCTCGTGAATCGTTTGGTGAT